CCGTATACTATAAGGGTTGAGTATCAGACTCTTAAGGACAATATGTTTATGATATAGCATTCATATATGAGATTAAACAACGTATGTTGGATGATCATTTAATTATTTTTCATATTCGTATTGGCTCCCATTGAGCAATACATTTGGGAAAGGAGAAATCTCTCAAAAAATAATCCAGTTTAGACTTCCAGTATAGACTGGGGGTATGGAGCAGTCATAGAGGGGAACAGATGGGTTCCTCTCATAAAGTGGGCAAACAGTTCTATGTTTTTATAAAGCTGGTAGAGACATACTGAAACATGTTTTTCTCTATTTTTCTGTTGATTAAACAATTGAAATACAATCAGGTTTGGGGTTTTAAGGGGGAAATTAAAGATCAGCATGTATGAAACTGTTAGAAGACTAAATTTTCCTTCTTACCTGTGTGAACCAGGAGCTTCAGGAGCTTCTCCGTCAGTACCAGCAAGCTGTTCCCGTGAAGAAGACCTGGCTGGAGTCCTGCTTCTCCAAACAACAAAAAGTCAACACTCTGCACTTTCAACATCAGTTCTAAGAAGACTCGCACTGTTGTTATTGTAACACATTTTTTTAAACTAACAAGAATGTTGGGTGATGAAAACTACAAGCCAGTAGATTAAAAACTGTTATGATTTATTTTATATATATATATATATATATATATATGAGAAGCAATTAAAAACAAATTCTGCTGCTGCATTATAAATTAAATTAATTCAATGAGGGAAAGGTGAATGTTTCTAACGGCACAAACCTCAAAATTCAATATGTGGCTGCTGTGCATGTCAGTGGAGACATGCAGGGATGATGCATTCATTTCCCCCTTCCTGTAATTTGTATCTGATGAGGTCTTCCCAGCACAAACATACTTGGACAATCTTCATTTATGAGCATGTTCTTGGTGTGCCTGAATGTGCAGATGCATTCTATATTGTCAGAAATGCATTGAATTCACAGCTACAGGTGTATCAGATCCTGCACCAAGTTATCCAGTATTTGGTGCTCAGATCACTGGTTTCCTTTTTTTGTCTGGGAAAAAAAAAGGAAACCAGTGATTTAAAAAATAAAATAAAAGTATGTGCTTTCCAATAGAACAAATGTAAAGAAAAAAATCAAAGAACAAATGTAAAGAAAAAAATCAAAGAACAAATGAAACATCTTACCAAAATCTAAAGTGTCATTGTCCCTCTCTCTGTCCAATGGATGAGGTTGGGTTTGTCAGTTGCCAAGAAAGATTTTTCTGCAGACTAACTTGTATTAGTATTTAGTCAAAGACTAGACCATGATTTATTTTTAAAATGTCTGTGGTGATCAAATCAATTTCAAAAGGTAATAATCTTTTTCCATTTTTTAAATATAGTATTGCTCGTTTAAAATAAAATCTGAATTCTTCCAACCTTTTATTTGATTGCTTTAAACAAAATGCCATCTGTTAAAGTTTCCTCCCTTTAGCTGAAATCTAAAAACAGGCCGGTGGAAAAAAAATAAATAAATACAATCTCCCAATCCAGTAACAGACTGAACATTCAAAATAGAGGAAATTCAACAAACACAGGAGCAACAGATTCATGGTTTGATTTTCTGTCAGCTGGATTATTTAATGGACTTAAAATATGTTAAGAACAACAATCGTACCCAGGGCAACACAAGAGTTCACACAGTATATCTTAGTTTTGATGTATTCCTTTATAATCTGTATACAGTTTTCAGATTTTTTTTTATTTTATAGCCACTCAAATATATATATATATAATTTATAGTCAGTACATACATAGTCTCTGTGCACATGTTAATAAATATATCCTGTATAGAACTTCTGGATAGATGGAAGCTACATTTTGTTGCTTTGTTTATGTGATAGAGTATAGACAATAAAGTTAAATTCTATTGTATTTTCTCTGGTTACCTGCTTATTTTAGAATTTATTTTGATGAATAGTTAAACCAACTTATTTTAACTCAAACTCGGGTTCTAAAACCAAATCTCATTTTCCAGATGATCAGTGGGGTTTAGAAAGAAGTCACTGTTTCTAAACTGTTGCACCCATAGGTGAGAAGGAAATACTTACATTTAGTAATTAGTTACATTTATTTGAGTAACATTTTCAAAGAAAACATACTTATGGGAGGAGTTGTACTATATTTTATACTTTTACTCAAGTATTATTCTAGTGAAGTATTACTACACCTACTTTAGTAAAATCACTGTCTAATCTGCTGTCTGTAACTGTAACTAGTCAGAAATCAGGTAAATGTAAAGTAAACTGTAAAGATTGCCATACATATTTTTTATTTTGGAAAAAATGGACTCAGAAAAGTGTTTCTTTGTTTCTAGACAGGGGCCAACAGGGGCCCGTGCCCCGTAGAACTAGTCCTGGCCTCTTTTATGGCCCCTGTACTGAAAACACACAAAACAAAATGAATGCAATTAGCAGATGCAATTATTAATTAATAAATACTTATTATTAATACTTTTTTAGATCTGTGTTTGCAGTGTAACTAAATCAATGTCTAATGATCTTATTCGATGAAAGAAGAGACTTTTCCTGATTTTTAGCTTGGACCAATTTAATATTTTGCCTGGACAATTTAACAACTATTTAGAAATTGCAAGCAGCTTTAGCTTCACCTGTTTTTATCCGTTTGATCAAGTGTGAAACCTGGACTTTGTGGCTCATTTATAATACTAAACACTCTTGTTTTATGTATTTTTTGTTTGTTTGTGTTATTCTTTATTTCTAAAACACCGGCCCCATCATGCCCCCCTTATATATTTCGTCTAGAACGAAATGGTTTTCTTTTGCTTTCATTTTTTATTTTGTCATTTTATTTTTAGTTAGTTTTTAAAATATCAGGAATTGTATAACTGATTCCATCATTTCTTAGATGGTATTATACTACTTGAGTAACTTTAAAAAAATAATTCTTTTTTAACTGTTAACTATTTCTAATTTTTTTAAACGTTTACTTGAATAACATGTTTAAGTTGTGCTAATCCTTACTTAAGCAGAAGTCTTTATGTATGTATATTTATACAGTTTTATAAGGGCCTCTAATATTAATTATGTCATTTGTTCTTTTGTGTTTTTTCTTACTAATATACTTTATTTATACAAACAAGATATGTGGGCTGCTATAGGGTACTTTCCCCTCCCAGAAGCCCTCCACTTAAGAAATCGTAAATGATACAGTATTATTAATTTGCGTGTTTTGAATGAATGAATAATTACTTTATTTCGATTTGAAAACAAAAAATAAAATTAGATTTTTTTAAAAGAATCCATCAGACAGCAACTGAAAAAGGAATAGGCTGAAGCCTCAAGGCTTATTTTCCTATCCTGTACCATCACAAGAATAATTCCCAATAAAAC